ATTGGGTTACAACATAGGTTCAGGTTAACTTCTAACTCGCTATATTTTAAAAAAAAAAAAGAAAAAATATCTATTTGGTTCAATTAATGACCCATTGACCCAAAAAGTTGAACCATTGACTTGTTTAGTGGTTTTTTGGTTTTTTTTTCTTTATATTATATTAATTTTTTTCAAAATTCTTATAATGATGGCATTATATGAATTGATCCCTTGGCCCATATGATCAAATTTCTAACAAGGGGTGGAGTAAATTGTCCTAACTGAACTTAAATATTTAGGGGGTGTTCTACAATATGAATGTTTTGTTTCCATTTGTTTTTGGAATTGCTACATCAAGGAAAAAAAACAAGTTCTTGAAGCCTATTTTTGTTTTTAAAGGAAAAAAAGTTAGTTTTACTCCAAAAAATATTAGTTTTTAAAACAAAAACAAGTTTTCTAGTATAAAAATTATATGATTTATGGAACATGGTGTTGAATAATCAAATGAAAACATGTTTATGAAATGGGATTCAAGAACTTTTTTTTGTTTCAGTTTTGAAAATAAAACACATACACACACAGTCAAGAACATGTTTTTTGTGTTTTTGTTTTAAGAAACAATCTATTTTCAAGTAAAATGGTTTTGATTTGTTTTTGGAACCACCAACAAGAAAAACAATTCATGTTATAAAATGCCCCCTTAGCAAACAATGATTTAAAAACTATTCATTGATCCAAGTAATTTAATGAGTGAACCAAATAACCCATCCAATTTAAACCCTTTAACCCACAATCAGCTAGCTTCCTATTTGGACATATGACTATATGAGGGGTTGTTTAATAATAGCTGAAGAAGTTGGATTGAGATTTATGGCTTTATCTTTAATTTTATGCTCTATTTGTATTATAGTATAATTTGAATTGAATGGAAAAATTTGCCCCCATTTAGTTTTGTATCATTTGCTTGTAATTAAGACTTGACAATGACCCCTCGTACTAAGTATGGGGCTAGTATTCCGATGCTTAAAAAAAGGGAAATTGCAGATTAGTACCTTGTACTTTGGCCTAGTCTTATTTTGGTCCCTGAACTTCAAAACATGTCAATCCAGTACCTAAACTTCCAAAACATGCCAGTTTAGTCCATGTCGTTAGTAGTCTATCAATTGTTGTGCTACTTAAAACTTTTGAAAATGTCAAAACTACCCTTTAACGCCATTCATTATTTTCTTCAACAACATATCAGTTTTTGACAAATTGCTTTTCTCTATTGACTTCTAAGAGATTTGGGCATTTGGATGGTTGTTAAAGAAAAATTAGATGATACCCGAAGGACATTTGTGTCCTTTCACATGCCACTTAATGGCGGTTAACAAATTTGTAATAAATTGGCATGTTTTGGAAGTTTGGGTATTTGACCGACACATTTTGAAGTTCGAGGACCAAAGTGAGACTAGGCCTAAAGTATATGGTACTATTTTGCAATTTTCCCTAAGAAAATCATCTTTTTTATTTCCAATGAATCTTTTCTTTTACTATAAAAGAATTTTGATTTTTTTTCATGTATACTAATAAGTTTTGTTTGACACCCATTTTTTATGGGTAAATTTACGTTATTATTTTATTTGTTATATAAATTCATTATTTAATTTAAGAGATTAAATCAAGTTTTATTTCAAATAATAACCCACTTTATGGATCCTACATTATTTAAAATGAGTTTTTGTTTTTTTTTCTTTATAGTATAGGTAACTACCACTAACTTTTTTTAAGAGCAGAGGTTACTATCATTTGAAGCTCAGACTTTTTTTAGAAGATAGGCACATGCCTAAAGAAGTTTTTTTTTTTTGTCAAAGTGAGAGTAATCACTTTTGATTTACTCTTTCCGGAGAAAATAAGAGCCACTTGTAAAGTCTCTAGTTTGAGGGCATATCCTTATATAGATCTGACTTTTGTTTGATGCAAAATTTGTCCTTAGTCTCATTTGCACATGTTGGCCGTGCAAATTTTGCTTCTTGAAAACAAGTGCAAATTTACACCACTTTCTTCTTACCTCAATTTTCTCTCCTACAAGGTTGAGACCACATCATCTTGCTTCCTACCTCACTCCCAAACACATAAGCTTCCTCCTATATCCGTTCTCTTTCATATGATTTGGGGACTACATCATTTTACTATCTATTTTACTTTTTACAAACAAATAAGACAAAATCAAATTTGAAGCAAAAATAAACTAGATGTTACACTTTACCTATTTGCACTTTGTTACGATCCATTTGTCCTATGCTGGTAGTATGGAATGCTAGTGTGAGGTATCCCATATCGATAGTATGGGATGTTGTTGTGGGGTATATATGTGCTTGGGTTCCCTCCCTCTAACAACTAGCTTTTAGGGGTGAGTTCTCGTAAGGTACATAACAAATGGTATCAGAGCCTACACTATACCTCACAATTGTAATTGTGTGGTGTAGGTGGTGACGTTGGTATTGCAGTGTTTGGCCGAGACTAAGTGGATTAATGCAAAGCTATCCTATGTGGGTGCAGGGACTATGAAGCATGGTGGAATGTTACGATCCATTTTCCCATGTTGGTAGTATGGGATGCTGTTATGGGGTATATATGTGCTTGGGTTCCCTCCCTCTAACAGCTAGCTTTTAGAGATAAATTCTCCTAAGGCTTAGTTTGGAAGGAGTACAAATACAAATTTGTAAAGTACAAAATCTCATATTTTGTATTATTTTATATATATTTGCACTTTACATATTTGTATTTATAATATTTTCAAATTAAACCTAAGGCACGTAACAAATATTTGTTACAGTCCCAATAGGATGTAATGTGAATTCCGTAGGGAAACGAACACGTCCAAGAGATAAAAATCTCAATTATAAAAGATAAGTCTCATAATATCTTAATTGAGAAGAAAAATACAACTATTTTAAGACTCGGAAACTAATTTCTAAAATCTTGGTCCCAACATTAACCCACGTATCCTACTTAAATTCAATCACTATCCCCATAATTTCCCAACATGACCCAACTACTTACACTCAACTTATGACTCTTAATTGACATAAAGTAAATATTTCTTCACAAAAATCTCAACAACCGACCCTTATAAGCCCCAATGACTCCCCCAAGTTACTCTAATTACTTTGACCCATGGGCCCGTTAGTGGGTCCGTGACACACTCTCATGCATCTACACATCTACACAACCAATGAAAATGAAATTTGCACAACAAACAAATTGAACCTTAGTAGAGAAAATAGTGATATAATAAAATATTTGAGAGCATAACCATCAATACACCATACATTTAGGTGTTGTTTGGTGCTACTTGAAATGTTGCCACATCAGCACCATCAAGGCATTTTGAATTAAAATGGCAAGTGTTTGATCAACTATATTGAATTAAAATAGTTGTAAAACATTTCTAGTAAAAATACAAACTAGGGGCATAGGGAGAACCCCTACATTAGCTGCCCATTTGAAGAAATGGCTCAATAACCTGGCTCTAGTTTGCATCCCTCGTGGCAATGTAGACATATATTCTAGTGTATTGCATACTACCAAAATGCATAAACACCATTGAATCAACCCCTGTGATTAGAACAAAGGTTTTTTTTTTGGGTTCTATGTTTTTAAAACCATTAAATTTGCATCTAGATGTTAATCTATGTATAATAATGAATCAATCGTCATAATACAATTGACTTTAAATTTGACCATTGGATAGGGTACTCTCACATTGAAGATTGAACATAAATGTATTTTTAAGTAACATTAAATGTCAATACCCAACACAATACTTCGGCCATTTGATAACAGCTTGGTTCAGTGCTTGAACTGAATGATTTATATTTTGTCTTTTAGTGAATAAGTTATTAGGCTTAAGGGCTGAAGCTGAAGCTGAAATTGGGTTGAATAGTGCATACTCAAAACTTTATTATTTAATCATTTTATTCACTAACAAACAAACCGAGTAAGTCATTCAGTTCAGTTATTTCAGTTGTTATCAAGCCTTGCCTCTTGAAACGGTTTGAGCCTGAAATATCAACTTTAAAAAAATGTTAATGGTACCAAACACCAAAATGGGATCTAAAAAGCAAAAGCTCTATACATGAATGGCATCCAACCATACATTGTGAATATCTCTGATCTCGACATTCCTGATGTGTAGTGCCAGATACCGTATGTGCAGAGCTTTTCATTTGCAGGAAATTCAATTCACCAAACACAACTTTAAGTCATTGAGAAACAGGCAAGTGGCGGCAACCCACTTAATGACTTACCCACTAAAAGAGACAAAGCAATAAGTCAGCCAATTCAGTCACTTCAGCCATTATGAGAAGCCCCCAGGCTCAAACCTGAAAAAAATTAAGCAATTTGACAGCTGGTTTTTCAAGAAGGTTCCACACCAGAAGATGGTTGCTGTTGAAGAAGATACTGAAAACAGCCTAGAGGCTGGATCGGTTTATGGCATAGTCCACGCAGCTGAAATCCTTTTCCTCCCTTGTCAATAATCCATGCTATTCACAACTATACACATCTGTACTAGATCATCTCTCATGGTCTCTTGGCTTCCACTTAAATGGAGAATAGCTTGGGCTGTCTTCCAAGCCTCAATAAACTATTAAATTATTTGAAAGGAACCCCCTTCCCCATGTGCCAGAGTAGTACCGATAACATACATCCCCAACCCACCAACACAATCATCTCTCCTTCATTTCAAGCCGTAGAATTAGAATCTTCTTATGTTGACCAATTCATGGGTATTTTTGTAATTTAATTATTAAATATTTGAACCCGAAAATTATATTAAAATGGGCGCTCAGTAAAAAAAACAGCCGTGAATGACTGAGCTCGTGTTTCTGAGTTTCTCTCCCTGTAGGCTGTAGGCTGTAGGCTGTAGGCTGTAGGCTGTAGCCCTTTTTCTTGACCTTAATTGAAGAGAAAACATTAATTAATTAACTATTTTAATATTTTAATTTAATACTATTTTATAAATATTCTCCTTTATTTTCGGTCTCCTTGTCCGGAGCGTCTGAGAGCCCTCACTACTCACTCTGTCTCACTGTCTCTGCAACTGAAGCTCCTTTAATGGCAGAACCGTAAATACCCTCTTTAATGGATCGTTCTCCTCCCCAGAAACCCTAATTTCCGTCTCTTCTTCTGAAAACCCATGTCATTTCTGGTGTTTCGTTTCTGCTTCGACGGTTCAGTCCTTCGATCTCTCCACTGAAATCGTTATTTTATCTTTTTCTGTTTTTTTCCTTTCTAAGTACTTCTGCTTTTTAGTGGCGGAAGAGACGTAATGTAGAAGGTTTAGTGACTACTCTGGTACAGCTTAGTGCTTGTTTCTGCTTTTGTGTGATCCATGCTTTTTCCTTTTTAGAAGTGTAAGCGTGCTTATTCTATAAGCTCTCGTTTTTGTCCTTCCGGTTAAGCTTCTTTCATGGCGTAAATGTGAATGTCAGAGCTCCATTGATTCCTTACGTGGGTGGCCAGTGGTAAAAAACCATAGCTTTTTTTCTTTCCTCGCTTTACTTGGATTTGGGATTTTTTAATGGCGGGAATGTGAAGAGAGGAGATTTGTAAATTGGGATTCCTTTCTTGTGGATTGAGCCGGAAAAAAATCGTAGCTTTGTTCGGATTTTATGCGGGTTCGGTTGCTTTCATGACAGCAAAATGTAAATAGTAGCTTCGGAGATAGGATCACTTGAACTTGATTTCTCTGGTAAAACACCCAGCTTTCTCATAGTATTTAATTGTAAGAAGCTTTGGGTAACAGCCCAGAAAGTGTAGAAACCATAGTTTTCTAATGCTTTTTCTCTAGTTCCAGTTTCTTTGATGGAAACAGAAAGCCCATAACTTGTGGTCTGATACCTTATTTGACTGTAAAAAATTCAAAGGCATGGTTTTTTGTTGGTTCCTCTGACTGGAGCTTCTCTGATGCAAAAAATCTTAGTTTTGGTAATATTTTTTGTTTTCTTTCTTTCAACAGTTCCCTGGTCTAAGAGCTGAACTTCTCGTTAATTGTTTGTGATCTTGCTGAACCATAGTTTGAGCTCTATTTTTTTTTTTTTTTTATTCTGGTGTTTAAATGTTTCTTAAAACTTTTACTGCCCAGACCCCACCTTTTTTTGGTGGGTTTCTGCAATTATTCGTCTGCACGACACTGCTTGTTTCCTTAGAATCTGATCTGGGTGATTGAAGATAAGATCTGCTATCATCTCTCAAGTGTAACCATGTGTTGTGTACTTGTGTATTAATATTATATTATATTCCATCTGTTTTATGTCCTTCTGCAACTAGAGCTCATGTAATGGCAGAAAATAGTTTTTTTTATTCACACTCTGGTGTTCTCTCTTGTTTCTTCTCCTCTTATTGCATTATACTTTTTCTTTCATGCTATTTTTTTGTGGCTTTTGCTACTTTTTTGATCCTGGTGAAGGAAAGTAAGCTTTGCCATTCTGTAGTCCTTCTGCAGTTATCTTAACACTAATTCTGTTTTTCTGTTATCTGTATTACAGTTGCAGACTTGGAAGAAAGTCAAGAAACAGATCTTGAGTTACTGCAATTGCCATTCCATCGATGAAAATGATAGCGATGAAGTCATGTAAAGTTTTAGTGCTTTTTAGCCTTTTTGTTTTTGCGAAGGCAGCAGAGGTTTACATCGTGACACTTGAAGGGGAGCCTGTAGTGAGTTACAGGGGTGGTGTTGAAGGGTATGAAGCCACTGCTTCGTCTGATGAAAAGATTGATACCACTAGGTATTTGCTTATGCTTCCCCTGAGTCTTCCTTTCTCAAAATATCCAGGTTAAAATACCAAAACTGCAGATATTTATCATAGTATCTCTACTCAAATTTAGCATCTTGCTTGTTAAATCTGTAGTTACTCTGTCCCATTCCCTGCTGATTTTTCTTTGCTAAGTACATGGCCTGGTTATCTTTGGTCCCAAGAGTTTTGAAGCCATAATTAGTGTAGAATGGATTTATAATTATATCATAATAAATCGCCCAAATATATTCAAGTAATATCCATTCTATTATGGTTTCAATAAAATAAATAAATATTTTTTGATAGGTATAAATAAATAAATAATTTACTGAATCATTTTCTTTTTCAAAGAATTCATTCATCAGGTCACTTGTATGCAGATACACCCTTATCAACTCATCAGATTGCTTTTCTGCAAATCCCCCTTCTATTTTAATGCTATTGCACTGTTTTTTCCTTGTAAGTAAACCTACCAGTTGCACATCTAGAGTTATGGTCTAGGACATAAATGTTGTTTTATGCATGTCTGAAATACGAGTTGTATGTTTTTTAGAACTTGAATATCACTTAGACTTCAAGTTGTCTGAAATACGAGTTGTATCATTCAATTGGTAAGAGTATGGCAATATATCCCTCAGTACTAGCAACACCCAAACAGTGATATCACTTAGACTTCTTTCCTACTTGAACTGCAGTGTTTCTGCCATGTAGAGAAATTATATGCTAATTCATGTTCTCTGTCAGATAAGGGGCTCCTTTGGATTGGTCATGTGTCCACCACTTTCTCTCTGGCATCAATATACCCATTATATAGTGATATGAACAGCCCAATCTTCATTTTCTTCCTTGAGTCCATGATGTTCCCAGGAGAAAACAAGGCTTTAAATTTGGTGAGGGCTTTGGGCTAAGACCTTAATAACACGTGAGCAGTAGGCACGTCCATGCCCTAATGGAAGCTTGTAAGCTGTTTAGGCTTCTTCTCCAAATTTCACTACAAAATAGCACTATCCATATATGTGTATTTGTACATGTATGCATTCGTGCATGGACCCTCTATAAATATGTATGTGTACATATTAGGAAATATGTTTTTATTTCTAACATTGACCTTATTTATCATTTTCTATGACCTAGTTATTCTGAATTTAATCTCTTAACTCTTATTCTTCCTTTATGCATATTTCATAGAATTGCATCAATTTATGAAGGTTATTTCTATTTCTGAAATGCATCGATTGATAATCAATTTAAGATGCAGATATAGTATTTGACCAACTTATGAAACTAAGCTTGAATAACCCAAAATAGTGTAGTATTTTTCTCGTCTGTCCTTTCTTCTAATTGGACCTTTTGTGTAGTGAATTGGTTATATCCTACTCCCATCACCTTGAAAAGAGACAAGATATGCTTCTTGGGTTGCTTTTTGAACGTGGGACATACAAGAAGCTTTACAGTTATCGGCATCTTATCAATGGGTTTGCTGTTCACATTTCCCCTGAACAGGTGTATAGTTAGACTTTTTTATTTCTTTCCTAATCTATGCATTTTATTTTTTGTTCATCAATACATATATTGTTTTTAAATGAAATAAAATCCAATAAAAAATGTTTCTTGTTTTTTCTATATCTTCACCCTCATTCAATTTCAATTTGTTGGGCAGGCGGAAATCCTTAGACGGACCCCTGGTGTGAAATCTGTGGAGAGAGATTGGAAGGTCAAAAGGCTGACAACACACACCCCACAATTTTTGGGGCTTCCAACGGGAGTATGGCCGACAGGTGGTGGCTTTGACAAGGCAGGAGAAGATATTGTGATAGGCTTTGTGGACTCAGGGATATATCCACATCACCCAAGCTTTGCAACTCATAACACAGAGCCATTTGGCCCTGTTCCTAAATATAGAGGGAAGTGTGAAGTTGATCCAGACACTAAGAGGAGCCTCTGTAATGGGAAGATTGTGGGAGCCCAACATTTTGCTGCAGCTGCGACTGCGGCTGGAGCATTTAACCCAGCAATTGATTTTGCTTCACCTTTGGATGGTGATGGGCATGGAAGGTTGGTATCCTTATGTTTGCATGAAAAGGAAAGTTTGCTAGGGCGTTTCTTTTTTCAAAAGATTTACTTTATTTTATTTCTTTATTTTTGAATCTGGTGCATGAGACTCTAACATGATAGTTTATGCAAAGTAAACTAGTTGATATGGTTTTGCCTGCTCACTTCTGAAATCTATATCCTTGCCTTGGATGTACATGCATACCATTCAAATTGTTTAAAATCCCTCATTCAATAGGTTCATCCAGATAATCACTTGGTCTGAGAGAGGTATCCTGGTAGGATGATCCTGGTCAAGAAGACTAGTCTAGATATAATTTTTTTTTCATCCCATCAAGCAAGCTCTCAACCCAGATGGAATCTTTGGTGAGAGTGATAGAGCCACTGACAAATAGGCTCTGTGTATATTGGATGTGTGTAACATTCAAAGGAAGAGGCAGGCAGGAGACATTACCTAACACTTTCCTGTGTGAGTGTTAACATATTGTTATGAATTATGACAAGCCTTGAAATTGGATATTGTTGAGAGTAGCATTGGACCAAGTTTTTGTCAGGATCTTACAGCTCTAGAGACAAGAAGAGTTTTACGATTCTCCAGGCCTTTGAACCTTATCCAAGTTGGGGTTAGTGGCCTGACTCTTTGTTGCAGCCATGCAGGCCCTAGATTATCATTTTGTTACAAGTTCTGCCCCCAGAGATTAGTGTTACTGTTCACAGCCAACCCAGATATGTTAATCATTGCCTCCTTGGAGGTGCTACCCTTCCTATATTATTTCTCATATCCTGGAAACTGTGGAAAAAAGTCCTTTGTTTCTGTTGTTAAACTTGTGCCTCTATCAGTCAATTAAGGTTGCTGATGATTTGTAGTAATTTGGTAGGATTGATAGGCCTAAATCAATTATAGTGTGTTTTTTTATCCTGCAATGTGGACTTTCAACTAATTTCTGAATATCCATTTCAGTCACTATTGCCATCTTTTTCTTAAGACTATACCATGAAAGGTTTTTTTTTTTCTTTGTTTTTGTGTTCAAAGAAAATAATTCCAGACAGTGGAAAAACTAGTAAATCCATTTTAAATTTTCATCTCCTATGATCAAATCAATTTTTTACTTTTGTTGTTGTCTTTTGTTCTATTTTAATTTATTTTGTTGTTTCACAAAAAAATTAACAGTCACACAGCAGCAATTGCAGCTGGAAATAATGGAATTCCAGTGCGTATGCATGGACATGAATTTGGGAGAGCAAGTGGGATGGCTCCACGTGCCAGGTGAAGGGCTATAACTATCTTTAACACAAAACAGTATTAATTTCATGGCAATTATTCTCCTCATCATCATGTATTTTTCAAATGGTTACCATGTCTTTATGTTCAGGATTGCTGTATACAAGGCACTGTATAGGCTTTTTGGAGGGTTTGTTGCAGATGTAGTGGCTGCTATTGAGCAGGTATGCTATTATTCAATTGCTGAAAGATTAAATGATTGACATTTACTAGATCATAGATTTATTGCAAGGTAGAAGACTGATATTTACTAGTTTATAGATTTAGATGAAAGGTAAATTTGTAGTATCATATATTTTCTTTGAACACCCAAGTTTTTGAATGGAACATATTTCAGCTATGCCCAGTGAAGTATTTCCTCATCTATCACATGGTTACTTCAACCTGCTTGTCCAAATATTGGTCAATTAATTAAATGGGCTATGGTCCACTACTGTTGACCGTGTGGTCTTCTACATTTGTTCTTTTCCAAATTTGAAATCTCTACCTCATAGTTTAGATTTAAGTTCATTTATCTTAATTGTGATGCAACTAATAATTTTCTAGAGTTGGATGGTTGAATTGGTCATACTGCATTCACATTTTATTAGATGCATCTATACTATTGCTGAGTTCTATTTCAGTGGTTTTTTTGATAGATAATAAGATTCATTGCATTACCAGAAACAGAAAAGTACATAATGTCCAACACTCTAAGCAGTGAAAATTCCAACCTCTAAGCCTTCTCTTTCTGGAACAGTGATGCAAGTAATGGTCCTATCAACTTGCCACGTCTGCTCAATACTTTCTCATCTTTTGTTGTTTAATTACTCGTTCAATGGTCAGAGAAATCAGCACCCTATTTTTCTTTGTTGGGTAGGAAGATTGACCAATGTGTGGCTCTTGCCCTAGCTTGGTGGTAATTGTAGAGAAGCTGTGGGGCCACTCTGTCTGTAGGGTAGAATATACCTAGTCTATCTGTTATGTTATTCTGTTATTCTAGTTCTGTTATTTACTCTTCAGTTTTTTATATTGTTAAGTGTTATGATGTAAACACCAAGGGCAGATATGTCCTTTCATGTAACTAGCATAACATATAAATATTAAATTGAAGCGGCGGCGGCAGATCATT